ATATTTTTTATATACATTAATAAAAAAAAAAAAAAACACTCCCAAGGGCATAAATTAAAGTAATATTCAGTTGTCAGGTACCAAGAGCTGATAGATGAATGAATTATTTTCATCGAGACTTCAGTGATCTGTTTCTTTACAAGAATGATTAAAACGAACAAAAATGTAGTACAGGGACTATAATAAATTATTTCTGAAAAGTATAAGGACCACATTATCTTAACTATGCTTCTGGTCGAGTCAGAAAGTGACACATGTGAACGTTATTTTTCTGTTGTGCGCAGAGAATTACTACCCAATTTTAAACTGAGGGATGAATTTTGAAACAGGGATAAACAGGTAAATCCACAAAGCAAAATCTCATTGGACACCAGGCCACGTCATCGATCCTGGTGATGCCATTTTAAACAAATATAGCCGTCCGATTTTAACCAAAACTACGGCCCCCTAACCGTCGGATCACCCCCGTTCCCTCACTCCTCCCCTACCTTTTATATCCGACCCTTCACCTCTCCCTCTTCTTCACAACAGTCCCTCTGATCCTCTCCCGCTCTGAACAAATCTCTACCTTCAATGGCGACTGAAAACCCTGCCAACACCCAATCTCTGCCGCCGCAGCAGCAATCGGCTCGTCCGGACTACAATCAGGTACTCCAAGTGTCTCGTTTCGGCATTTTCTCTTCTCAATTTTGGTTTTCTTTCACGCGGTCCTGAATTCTGTGGTTTTCTCGTTTCTTAGTTGATTATGGCAGCGATTGAGGCGCTGAACGAGCCGAGCGGATCCAGCAAGTCGGCCATCTCGAAGCACATCGAGTCTACGCTCACGGATCTTCCCTCGGAGCACCTCTTTCTCATCCCGATCCACCTCGATGAGTTGAAGAAGAGCGGACAATTACTTCTGGTCAAGAACAACTACATGAAACCTGGTCCTAACGCGCCACCAAAGCGAGGCCGCGGCCGTCCTCCCAAGCCGAAGGAGCCTCTTCCTCCAGGGACCGTCTTGCCTCCACCGAGACCTCGCGGCCGTCCACCAAAGGCAAGAGATCCTTTCGCTCCACCTCCAAAGCCAAAAACCTCCGCCGGAACCGGTAGGCCTCGTGGACGTCCTCCAAAGAAAGTTAAGTCTGCTTCGGCAGCTGCTTCAGCTCCACCTCCAGTTTCCGGTGTGAAAAGGGGGAGAGGTAGGCCGCCGAAGGTGAAGCCGGCGGTCACTCCGGTTGGCTGTTGACTGAAGTAACAAAAAGCATAAAGACAGAAAGGAGAGAGAATGACGGAATTAGGTTTTTAATTTTTAAAAATCTTTTAGGTGTTGTTTAGTTCTCTACTAATTGATGTTTTAGCTCTTTTTTTTTTTTTTTAATTCTTGGTTTAATTCTGTGGGAAGTATTGTAACTGTCGTGACTGTAATTTCATGTATATTGTTCACCGGATTGTAGGCTTTCACTCTTTAAGCACTTTTTCCATATTCAGCTTTTGCTTTTTTAGATCAAATGGTAATGGATAGAAATCTAGCTTTTTAAAAAAAAAAAAATTTTCCTTTTATTAAATTGGAAGGTTTGTGGTGTAGCATATGCTGGCATGTTCTTTCTTTATTTAGAAGAAGAAAGTTGAAAAATGAAGGAATTTGTTTTTGGATATTTTAGAAAAAAATTTTAGATGCTTGTGGGGAAAGGTTTGGATTTTAAAATTTTGAAAAGAAAAATGGGCGGGATTTTGTAATTGAGAGGGGGGGTGAGGGCAGAGGGGGTGCTGTACTACTGTGCTGTGTTAGGAAATGTGGTCCTCACAAATGAGGAAAAACGGGTTTGAAATTGTTGGGATTGGTAATTGAGCAAATTTTTGTTTCCTATTTCGTGTAACGGTGGTGGCAAATTTAGGTGGTGATGATGCTCCCTTTTTGGGATGCAATAATTATAGTCTTGTTTTTGCTCATGAAAAATTCAAACTTGAGGTGTTAGAGAAAGGTTTCACTTTTCAATGCAATGGATGTCTGTCATATATTTTATGCATTATTGTTGTTTGTAACAGAATAGTTCAATTGATTATAAATTTTAAATTTTAAGTTGAATTTATATTTAAATTTTGATTGTGTGAAAAAAGAATTGAGAGAAAAGAATTATTTTGTAAATTTATTATCAAATACAGACATACTAAATAAACATAAATGAAATTTTCAACGATTTGTCGACAAAAAAAGAAAAAAAAAAAGAAGAAATCTCTAACGTGATAAAGAAAGATTTCTAACATTTCTATTAGAAAAAGATCAAGAGATATAAAATATTAGGACGTGATATTTCTTTTGTGCTAAAGATTCGTTTCAAGCTGTTTCATAGCTTCAAAAGATCACTTATGAAATTAGGTTTCTTTTTATAATAATAATTTAAAGGTTATTTTGATATTAGATTTTCAGGTGATTCGTTATATACATTTTTTTGGGCAATATATAATGTAGATGATATTGTAAAGAAATAAATGATAACTATTTTTGGCTCATGAGCACCAAAAACTGATTTTTTTTAAATGTTTTTTTTTTTTTTGTATATTTG